AGCCTCCTGTGTAGCTGGGATTACAGGCACGCGCCACCATGCCCAGCTGATTTTTTGTATTTTTAGTAGAGACGGGGTTTCACCATGTTGACCAGGATGGTCTCGATCTCTTGACCTCGTGATCCACCCGCCTCGGCCTCCCAAAGTGCTGGGATTACAGGCGTGAGCCACCGCGCCCGGCGGCTTGGAACATTTTCTAAGTTTAAATTAGCTGTTTCTTCTCTGACCTCAAGTTGCTGCAGTGCATATGGCAGGATTATCTTTGCTATCAGGCTGATCTCTGTGTAATTCCCTTTCCTTCTGTGTCTTACCTTCAGTGAACCCAGGAGCACACGTAGACTCTAATCACACATTGATCTAAGCATTTCAGATGCTTGCTTGGAAAGACTAGCTGAACCTGGGGCTGAGATCATGAGGAGAAGATGGAAAAGGGGTTATTGGGATATGAGGGAAAAGTGTGAAGCCAACAGATTTTTCCGAGTATAACCAGGAATTAGAAGGAGAACCAGGAGGTGGAAGGAGGACCAGCAAGTAGAAGGAGGGCCAGGAAGTGGAAGGAGTCCCCGTGCCACACTGTGCTTGAGATCAACTTGCCCTCAGTGACCCAATACCCATGGACAACACACCATCTAAAAGTGTTGGGCCCTTGTTTGTCTTCTGAACAGAAGGTGGACTTCTTGGTTACCTTGTCAGGGCAGAAAGCATGAAAGGAAAACATGGTGTCCTGGCCTAGATGTAACTGATCGGAACAGCTGGGAATTTCCCTGTGAGATGGAAAACTCTCTACCTACCACCACTGCTGCACACACTGCTTTGCCTCTAACGGTTGTATTTCTCATGGGTTAGTCTTGTTTTTAGTTACTATTTTATGAATAAATTTATTCCTCTCAAGGTGGATAGAATAAGCTCAACCTCACAGAGTTATTGTGGGGATAAAATAAGAGGATGTGTGGGCTGGGTGCAGTGGCTCACGCCTGGAATCCCAAAACTTTGGGAGGCTGAAGCAGGCGTATCACTTGAGGTCAGGTGTTCGAGACCAGCCTGGCCAACATGGTGAAACCTCATCTCTACTAAAAATACAAAAATTAGCTGGGTGTGGTGGTGCACGCCAGTAATCCCAGCTATTCGGGAGGCTAAGGCAGGGGAATCACTTACCTAGGAGTCAGAGGCTACAGTAAGCCAAGATTGAGCCACTGCACTCCAGTCTGGGTGACAGAGTAAGACTCTGTCTCAAAAAAAAAAAAAAAAAAAAAAAAGCATGCAAGGAATGCTTCTAAAATTATGATATTCCAAAATAAAGAATTGTTATATGTTAAAAGCTCCATGAGGATCAAGTTTTATCTTTCTCTCATCTCACATAATGACTCAGATGACAGCATATCATCAAGATATGGTTTATGAGATTTTCCTGCAATTACATCATGTTGATGTCACAGTTATGTGTCTTTGCAATTACAGAATTCCTCCTACATTGAATGTTGTTATTCTTCCTTCACAATTCAGTTCAAATGCCTTCTTCTCTGTAATGCCTTTGTCAACATCCCACTTCCTCCACTTTCTCTAGCGTTCTGCCCATAATTCTCTTATCCACATCACATTGTGTAATGATTGTTTATTTACATGTCTGATTATCCTGCTAGTTTGTGAGCACTTGGGGAAGAGAAAACACATAGCCCATGTTTTATTCATATCCGTATGCCCAACGTGTACACCAGCTGACAGCATAAATGCTCCGTGTGTATTCAATATTTCCTAACTGTAAAGTTGAGAGTAGTCCTTCCGCTTTGGGGTTTTGCTGATATTCTCAGTGAAACCCAAGTTTGGAACTCTAATAAGTGTATTTGAATATTTCTCAGGCCTCTAAATGCGGCTTGGAACTAAAGACATCTGGTTTACTATAAAAATGTTCTTAATGGTCTCTATTCCTCTGTTCATATTTCCTTTCTATCATTCTCCAATTCCTGCCAAAGAGAATATTCCAAAACAAATCTGTTCATTACTTTCTTAATTAAAACTCTCCAAAGTCTTCCCCTTGCTAAGGGATACATTTTTTTTAGGATGGCATCCAAGGCCTTACATAACTCTATCCTCTACCCTCCATGACTTATCTTTTGATGCGTCTTCTCCATTCTCCCTTAAGTCCCCCATCAATACACACAACCACCCCACACTCCTGCACCTTCCACCCTGCTAGCCACTTTATAGATGCTTAATGACAAGTAATTATCTAAATGGACCACACTGCAGGAACTTCTGTAGCCATTTTTCATCATCATCCTGTTCTTTCATTGTTGTTTCTATTTCTTCTTTTATCCCCCTGATTATTTATGCCCCCTGATTATTTAAACCATATTTTATAATCAGGTGAATTCCCCGCTTGTTACATTTACTGACTCTCATGGTGGTGCTGGTGGATTTTTTCCTAGTGTTCCTGTGTGTGGGTGAGTTTTGTTTTGTAGCTTATTTTATTGTGATATCAGTTTCAGCAGGGATTGATTCTCTTCCCACTCCTGGGTAGTAGAAGTACCAGTTTTGCCAGTTTCCTGGTGGCTTTATGGGTCCTAGACCAGCTTTGTGTTAATGTCTCAGCTTTGGATTTTGATAGCATGGGGACAATATAAATTGGACCCATACATGCTTGCGTTCCTCAGGCCCGTGTGCTTTAGGCTCATTTTTTCCCCCACTGAGTTGCAGGCAGATGGCAAGCTTCCTTGCTACTTCTCTAGGCCTTTGGGTGGAATGTTTCTAGTTCCCTTTTCACAGGTGGGCCTGGCTAAATGTAGAGGTTTCAGCTCTGGCGCACCACGTCACATCTCATATGGGTCAGTGCCCTTATCCTCTTCCTGCCTGGACATTAAGCCTCAGCTGTATTGCTAAGGAGGCCTGACAATCACCTGAGAGGCTGCGGCATCAGCTCCATTTACTAGCCTGTATTTAATTTCCCTCTTCCCTGCTTAAATCTATGGGTTTGTTTCCTTTTTCTTTTTTCAAGCTTGACCATTTTTCCTTACGCTGTTTTATCTAGCACGTGGAGAATTGGTGTCAGTGTAGTCCAAGACGTTGTTGGAGGGCCTCTGTGTTACCTGCTATGGTTATACCCATGTCCTCCTTTACGTGGAACACTCTGTCATCAAACCAACCCAGACTTCAGGCAAAGCCTGCTCATCTTCCATACTCAGCTGAGCATCCCCTTCTCAACTGAGCTTTTATTTATTTATTTATTTTTGAGACGGAGTTTTGCTCGTTACCCAGGCTGGACTGCAATGGCGCGATTTCGGCTCACCGCAACCTCTGCCTCCTGGGTTCAGGCAATTCTCCTGCCTCAGCCTCCTGAGTAGCTGGGATTACAGGCACACGCCACCATGCCCAGCTGAATTTTTGTATTTGTAGTAGAGACGGGGTTTCACCATGTTGACCAGGATGGTCTCGATCTCTTGACCTCGTGATCCACCCGTCTCGGCCTCCCAAAGTGCTGGGATTACAGGCTTGAGCCACCGCGCCCGGCCTCAACTGAGCTTTTAAAAACATTTCTCCAGATTAGAATTAGTCTCTCCCTCACTGGTAGTCCCACCATACACTGCTCAGTTTTAAACCATAGGACCTGTGACACTGGTGTGCTTACAGTGTGTTCGAGTCCTTTTTCCTTCTTGATGATTATGTTTTATAATCCACAAGTATAGGGTTGGATTCTAGGGTCCGGCACTTTACAGGGTCCCTAACAGGTGTTTAATACAAGCTGAATAATGAATGAATGAGCGAATACATAAAATGGGTGGATAATAAGAAATAACAGAATAGTAGGAATAATAGAATTATATAGTTCCCCTGGGTCAGGCATGGTGGTGTGCACCTGTAGTCCTGAGGCTGAGGCAGGAGAATCATGTGAGCCCAGGAGTGCCAGGAGTGCCAGGCTGGAATAAGATATGATTACACCACTGCACTCCAGCCTGACAACCGAGTAAGTCCCCACACTCAAAAAAAGAGAGAGAGAAAATTTCGTCTCTCTGTGTCTTTATGCTGTATTTCTAGGCCACATCTATAAAGAAATTAAGAAAGTCAAATTTAAACAAATTATCTTATCCTGATAAGAAGTGAAATGTAAGATGTTTATTGAAACTAGCAGCAATCACATCTAGTGCCCCCCATGTGCCAGGCACATTAAATTCACACATCTACTTTTTACAATGACCTTTTGACATAGGTGCTATGAATATTCGTTTTACACACGGGGGAATTGAGTCACTGAAAGGTTGAATAACTTGACCAAACTCAAAAATGGCAGAGCTAGGATTTGAGCTCAGGCAGTCTGGCTCTGGAGTCTGTATTTTTAACCATAATATTAGATAACCTATCAATACTAATGAAGGAAACAGATGGAAGTTTCTGGGTCCATTTTTTTTAAAGCAATTATTTGTGGGTTTAAAGTAAATCATTATTTTCTAATGAATACTCAGGCTTTTCTTAGAGCCCTGCCATCTGGGAAAATAAAAGCCTCACTCAGTAAAAATACCTCTAAATTTAACTGATAGGTCTAAAAATCCTTCCAGAATTGAATCTAGATCTCAGATATTGCTGTTTAAACACTTGCCTTTCTTTCTGTTTTCCTTCTTTATTCACAGAAAAAAAAAAAAAAAGAAGAAGAACAAATACAACCATCTCCTTCTGTCTTCCTAGAAACATAAGTTGAAGCTTTATTAGAAATCATTTGGTGTACATCCCTTTTCCTTAAAATCCAGAAAGCACCACCAATATTTTGAATTTATTTTAAGATGAGATGGAATCTCAGTCTGTTACCCGGGCTGGAGTACAGTGGCACAGTCTCGGCTCACTGCTGTCTCCGCCTCCCGGGTTCAAGTGATTCTCCTACCTCAGCCTCCCAAGTAGTTGGGACTACAGGCATCTGCCACCATACCCAGCTAATTTTTTTTATTTTTAGTAGGGTCATGGTTTCACCATGTTGGCCAGGGCGGTCTTGAACTCTTGACCTCAGGCGATGTGCATGCCTGGGCTTCCCAAAGTGCTGGTACTACAGGCTTGAGCCACTGGGCCAGGTCATTTTGCATATACTGATGCAAAGTCACCTTGCTTATTCATTCTCCTTATCACCGACCAAGAAGTAAAAATCAAGACATACTGGATGGACCAAAGGGACAGGCTCTGTCTGTCCAGCCATTTTGACTGTCATACCTCTTGTGAGTGGCAACCACAATGCTTATACTTGTGGATGCAGATGGCTGATAATTCCTGCACTGCAAATTTGATCTCATCTCTTATCTAAGCTCCTTTAATGGAATTTTGTGGAGAAGTGATAACCTTCCCTGAATGTAAGAGTGGGCTAAGGAATCTCAAACCACAAGACTCATTGACCATAAGCAAAATGGGAATGTGTTTTTGGAGCAGCAGCAGATTTTTACTTAGGACTATTAAAGAATATGCTAAAGAAAGATAAGCAACTTGAGCAGTTACTAAATATACCAAGCAGGCATGGGGCTGAGATATGCGGGGTTATGTGCAGCTGAACAAACAAAATGACTATTTCTGTAGGGATCCTGCGTGTGTGGCACTTTGGGTTTGATGACGCACCTTACTATTTAAGGAATGCCGGAGAATTGTCCTATCTGAAGTCCAGAATAGATTTTTCCCTTCAAGAGAAAATTTGTTTTTTAATGTTTGAATGGTCTTTAAGTAAAATGTATCTGTTATGAAAATATCTAATAATTTACCATGCCACCAAGATGGCACAGCTTAAGAGCCATGCTGAGATCAAGAAAATCGATATAATTGGTAGAGTACAACAGGCTTCATTTTTTTTTTTCCTTTTTGGCAATAAAATGGCTCCATTACCATGTTAGTGAGTTTCAGAAAATGGATGGTTATTGACCTGAGATTACTTGTGAAGCATAATGTAGATCATTCTGCTAAAAAAAAAAATTGTTTTATTAAAGCCCAAAGTACTATATTTAGATCAATATTTCAACACATGACAGAAGTGTTTACTTTTATTAAAAGTAGTAAAATTGAAATGTTTGTCATTAATGAATGATTGACAACCTTGCTTAAGGTATCTTAGCCACATATAGGATCATAAGCAAGATCCTTAAGGTACTTTAAAGAAAATTAGGCTCTCTGCTCCTCCGGTTTGACAGCCACAATTTCTTGTGCCGTGTCAGCCATGTCCCTGAGACACCATGGTGGAAGTACAGGTCAGAGTAAATGGATTTGGCCATATTGAGCACCAGGTCACCAAGACTTCTTCTAACTTTGGGAAAGTAGATATTGTTGTCATCAGCGATCCTTCCATTGACCTCAACTACATGCTCTGCATATTCCAGTATGATCCCTTGGCATTGTCAAGGCTGAGAATGGGAAACTTGTCATCAATGGAAATCCTGTCGTCATGTTACAGGAGCAAGATCCCATCAAATGGGATGATGCCAGTGCTGATTATGTTGTGAAGCCCACTGGCCTCTTCACTCCTACTCCCATGGAGAAGGCTAGGGCTTACTGAGAGGAAGGAGTCAAAATGGTCATCATCTCTGCCCTCTCTACTGACGACCCCATGTTCATGATGGATGTGAACCATGAGAAGTTCAAAAACAGCCTCAAGAACATCAGCAATGCCTCCTATACCACTAACTTCTTCGTCCTCCTAGCCAAGGTCATCCATGCCAACTTTGGCATCATAGAGGGAATCATGACCACAGTCCATGCCATCACTGCCACCTATAAGCCTGGGGAATGGCCCCTCTGGGAAACAGCAGTGTGACAGCCGTGGGGCTCTCCAGAACATCATCTGTGCATCTAGTGGTGCTGCATCTACCAAGCTGAACAGGAAGCTCACATTCTGTGTCCCCACAACAAATGTGTTGGTCATGGATCAGACCTGCCATCTGGAGAAACCTGCCAAATATGATGACATCAAGAAGGTGACATCATCAATGAAGACATTAGAGGGCCCCTTCAAGGGCATCTTGGTCTATACTGAGCACCAGGCTGTCTCCTCCAACTTTAATGGCGACACTCTTCAACTTTCCATGCTGGGGCAGCATTGCCCCCAACAACCACTTTGTCAAGCTCATATTCTGGTATGACAATGAATTTGGCTACAGCAACAGGTGATAGGCCTCAAAGGAGTAAGGTCCCCAGACCACCAGCCCCACCAACAAAGGCATGAGAGGGAAACGAGCAGCCCTCAGCTGCTGGGGAGTCCCTGTCACACTCAGGCACCCACCAAAGTGAGACTCTTCCGTCGTCACTGGTTCCATGGCAGACACCCTGAAGTGGGAGGGGCCTAGGGAGCCTCACCTTGTTGTGTATCATCAATAAAGTCTCCTGTAATAAAAAAAAGAATAAAATTATACTGAAAGATAGTATTTAATAAAGAGTTCAGATGGTTTGTATTCATGTGTGAATCAGTATCAAGCAATGGATTTATCATTTTGGAACTTAACTCCCTTGTAAAAAATATCTGAGTTGTTTATGAGTTACTGGCCCTTTCTTATAAAGCTTCTGTTGTTGCTTTTCTCAGAGAACTGGGAAGCCCCTTTCAATTTTGGTTGTGATCTGTGGACAGCTCTCTATCCCAAAGACTGGAAAATTTCTTTTCTAACCATAGGAGAAAAACTGAAGCAGAAACAGCGAGAAACACAGGTACTTTGACAAAAGGATTTTCTTACCCCAGTGCTTTCTTACTGCCTGAAATTCTAGTAGTTATAATTCTTCAAGAGTCAGATACTTGTTAAAATGTGATATGGTTTGGATTTGTGTTGCCACCCAAATCTTATCTTCAATTGTAATCTGGATTGTAATACCTACATGTTGAAGGAGGGAGCTGGTGGGAGGTGATTAGATTATGGGGACAATTTCTACCATGCTGTCCTCATGAGAGTGAGTGATTTCTCATGAGATCTGATGGTTATATAAGCGGCAGTTTGCCCTGTGTGCCCCTCTCTTTCCTGTGGCTATGTAATAGATACCTTGCTTCCCTCTCCCCTTCAGCCATAAATTTCCTGAGGCCTCCCAGGCGCTGGGGAACTGTGAGTCAATTCAATCTCTTTTGTTTATAAATTACCCAGTCTCAGGTAGTATCTTTGTAGCAGTATGAGAACGGACTAATATACAATGACTCAGAAAGAAAAACACATCCTTTGACTTTGGAGGGATATACACATTGGAGCAAAAACACATCCTTGACTTTAGGGTGAGATGATATAAATGGGGATCTCACAGTATCAGGATAGTCGACTTCAGTTGACCAAAGAGCCTAAGCTGAAAACAAAAATAGTACCTTAGTTTTTATTTTATTTATTTATGTTTTTTGAGACGGAGTTTTGCTCTTGTTACCCAGGCTGGAGTGCAATGGAGCGATCTCGGCTCACCGCAACCTCCGCCTCCTGGGTTCAGGCAATTCTCCTGCCTCAGCCTCCTGAGTAGCTGGGATTACAGGCACGCGCCACCATGCCCAGCTAATTTTTTGTAGTTTTAGTAGAGACGGGGTTTCACCATGTTGACCAGGATGGTCTTGATCTCTTGACCTCGTGATCCACCCGCCTTGGCCTCCCAAAGTGCTGGGATTACAGGCTTGAGCCACCACGCCCGGCTGTACCTTAGTTTTTAAAATAGCTAATGCTATAAAGGAAAGCAGTAGGTAACTTGGAGAAAACACAGAGAAAGCGAGAACAAAGTCAAAATCTGGCGAAGCTCAAACCTCACGTGGCAGATCATAATTATAACACAATTGCTTATTTTATACCCTGAAAATTTCAGTTCCAAATGAAAGCTTGCTGCGTAAGTATTTTTCAATGACTATTTTAAAGAAAAGCAATTTTGCCTGTTTTGTGTTATACGGTTATAAAAGGGTTAAAGAGCAACAGTTAAGACATTGTTAATACTGTGGCATAGAAAATAATCTATTCATGTCCTTTGCCCATTTCTAAATTGGATTAATTTTACTAATATATTTAACCAAATATATCTAAATGCTTCATCATGTAATCAACATAAAATGTTAATGAAATTTTTACCCTTTTATTCATAATATCTTCAAAATTCAGGATGTATTTTACACTCAGAACAAATCTCTATTTGAACTGGTCACCTTTCAAGTGCTCAAAAGCACAGATGTAGCTGTCATATTGAACAGCACTCCGCAGATAGTTCTCATTTGTAGTTGGGAATTTGGCTTTGCAGAAGTCTGAGGTCTGTATGGTTTTCTTTTCTCCTTGTAGGTGATTAGCTTTCTGATACCTGAGTAATTGTTTTTTCATTCTTAGAATTCAATAACTTAACAAAGATATGTATCAATGTAAAGAGTTCCAAACTTAATTTTCATGTCCATTCTTGTGCCAATTGAGTTCTCATTTCAGGACCATTATTTATTTTGTGATATATCTTTGTAATATTTTCTTTCTCCATTGTTGAGTTATTTTTGCTTCCGGGACACCAATTAACATTTGTTGGGCTCCCTGTTTTTGTCCTCCATACCTAGTAGTTTCTCTATGATTCTTTAAGCACCTCATGTTTATTTTCATTACTGTAATTATCACAATCTTTTTCTAAATGTAAGTTACTTGATTTTGATTTGTGCTCTTTTGATCTTACCTGTTTTTTTCTCGTTGTTTTTAGCCTGCTTGGTTTTAATGACATTATTTTGATTCTTATTTTGTGTTCTTTTTTTTTTTTTTTTTTTTTTTTGAGACGGAGTTTCGCTCTTGTTACCCAGGCTGGAGTGCAATGGCACGATCTCGGCTCACCGCAACCTCCGCCTCCTGGGTTCAGGCAATTCTCCTGCCTCAGCCTCCTGAGTCGCTGGGATTACAGGCACGCGCCACCATGCCCAGCTAATGTTTTGTATTTTTAGTAGAGACGGGGTTTCACCATGTTGACCAGGATGGTCTCGATTCTTATTTTGTGTTCTAAGCATAGTGTTCTCCTGTTTCATAGTACAGCATTCTTTATATTCCAGTCTTTTTGCTCTCATTTTGTCAAATTCAGTTGGCTATTTAAACTCGTCCTATTACTGAAAGCTCTTTTGAAAATGTTCCTTCTTACTGAAGTTGAGTCATATGAAAGAATAAACAACAAAAATATAAAAGAGAATTTTTAAAAAAGAAAACTAAAAGAAATGTTTCTTCTGTTTCCTGTTTGCTTTGGTTTTTTTCCTCTTAAGTTAGGTTGTTTATTTGGTATCTAGCTAATGTTGGTCTTGTGAAATAAAGTGGGAAGTGTTTCCTCCCCTTCTAAAGAAGAGCTTATGTGGAATTTGAGCTATTTCTTTTTTTAAATGTTTGGTAGAATTGACTGGTGAAATAATTTGTCCAGGAGATATCTTTTTTGGATGTTTTAAACTATCAATTCAATTTCTTTAATAGTTTTAGGACTAGCCAGGTTATCTATTTCATGTTCAGTAAGCTTTGGTATTGATTTTGGAGAAACTGGTCCATTTTATCTCAATTTTCAAATATATATGTATAGAGTTATTTGTAACCTTTACATATTATCTATTTTTTCACATCCATGGTGTTTGTAGTGATACATTCTCTTTCATTCCTGATCTTGGTAAATCAGGTCAGTTACAAATAACAGAAATTTTCAGTTGATAGAATTCCAAGAAAATTAGATTTTATCTCAAAGTGAAACAAAATAAGACTTCTAGATCTTGAAATAGATGTATCTCAAATTAATATTTTCAAAATGAATTTCATCCTCTGAATGAAATTAACAACACCCCAAATGGTGCCTTAGTTTTGAAATTTTGCTTTTTTTTTTTTTTTTCCTGAGACAGAGTTTAGCTCTTGTTGCCCAGGCTGGAGTGCAATGACATGGTCTTGGCTCACCGCAACCTCTGCCTCCCAGGTTCAAGTGATTCTCCTGCCTCAGCCTCCCAAGTAGCTGGGATTACAGGCATGCGCCACCACACCTGGCTAGTTTAGTATTTTTAGTAGATACGGGTTTTTTCCATGTTGACCAGGCTGCTTTCAAACTCCTGACTGCAGGTGATCCACCCGCCTCAGCCTCCAAAAGTGCTGGGATTACAGGTATGAGCCACTGCACCCAGCCAAAATGTTGCCTTTTTAATATCTCTAGGAGACATTCCATTTTTTCTAGTCTATCTGCACTGAGTTTGTTCAGATTCCCTTTACTTCTGTCCAGGATTATTTCAGAAGTCTCTAAATGATTTTTCTGCCTTTCGCTTTAGCTTCCTTATAAACTATTCTCTATGTGTAGCCAAGCCATAGGTTTTAAGTATGACTGTAGGAATGTTATCTTTCCTTCACTCTCATGAAAGTCCTTTAGAGTTTGTCTTGTCTTTCAGGCTGCTAAAACAAAAATGCATAAACGGAGTGGCTTATAAACAACAAACATTTCTTTCACAAAGTTCTGGAGCCTGAAAAGTCCACAATAAGATGATGACACATTCAATGTCTGGTGAAGGTCCATTTCTGGTTCATAGAAGACGCCCTGTAGCTGTGTCCTCACATGGTGGAAGGCTCAAGTTAGCTCTCTGAAGCTTCTTTTACAGGAGCAGTCATCCCATTAATGAAGTGTCTACCCTCATGACCTAATCACTCCACAAAAGGCCACACTTCCTAATACTATCATGTTGGGGGTTAGGATTTCACCATATGAATTTTGGGGAACACAAACAGAACATAGCAGAGGTCCTCTGCAGTAGTTAAGATAGAGAATAAACTCCAAGGCACATTTGCTGTTTCTGTTTTGTTTGTGATCAGACCTTTACCAGTGTCCATTTTCACATCTTACCACTCTCTTGCTTTTGTAATCAAACCATACTGACCCATTGTGTTTATTTCACTAAGCCTTTATTCATCTCTGTGTCTTTGCATGAATTGTTATTTATGCTCAGGGTATTCTCCCTTGTCACAGCTCCTCTCCTGGCCAAGACATGCTTAAAAGATTCAAGAGTAAGCTCCTTTGGTGGCCTTCCTGAACTTCCTCATTTCAGTCTCCTGTGTACTCTCAAAATATCCTGTGTACACTGCATGACACTTCTTATATTTTACTTGTCTAAGCCTCTTTCAGGCTGAGACGGTATCCTTTTCATGCTTGCATATACAATACTTGCCTTAGTACATAGTAAGTACTCAATAATCATTGAATGAAGGTGAAATCTTCTGCATTAAGGGATATGATACTGCAACTGGAAAAGTTAACAATTGTAATGTGAGAATAATAATATCTTCAATTAATTTCGTTTGCTTGCATATTTTTATTTTGTCTTTACAGTAACTCTGTGAATTAACAGGAACCCCCAATTTAATAAAGAAATAAAATGAGGCTTGGGAGGGTTGGTAATTTGCCCAAAGTAACTCAGCTAATAAGTGCAGAACCAGCGGTCTGGTATGTGGTTGTCTGAGTTTAAAGATGTTTCTTCCTACTCTAACATCAAGCCCTGGATTGGAGAATAAAAAGTAAGAGAACCTCAAGACATTTTAAATGTGCTCATACCCCCAGTATTAGGTAAGTTACTTTTCAGGGTATAAAGGTCTTCTGGATGTGTTGTCAGAGACAGTGGATAACTGCAGAGATGAAAGAAGCCTGGCAATGTGCAAATATTTAAAAAATGTATCTGAGAAATTCTTTTCTCAGATTTTTTTTTATTAGATCATTGTTGAACATTTGGAATAGAAGATGGCAATTAATTAGGACTGACATACGTTTCCTTCAAATAGGCCAGGTAAAGTAAACTCTGATTTTCTTTCTATTCTAAGTTTCTTAGATTGTATGATCATAATAAAATAGCAGACAAAGTGTTCACTTATTTGTTCTGGGAACCTCCCCCCCACCCCAGTTGTCAAAATTGGGCCAAAATCCACAAAATCCAACAAATTCAAATGAAAACTAACTTTAGCAAGGACGAGTGTCAAGACTAACTACAAAAAGAATAATCAGATCTCAACTCTAAGTTCTCAAAGGCTCCATCTTCCATGACCCAAGCAGGTGTCCTCCATCTTTATTATCATTGTACAGTATCTACTGCATCTTATAATATACTTATCCTTTCATGCACCCTAAACATTTCTGCAATATCTTAGCAGAGTCAAGAGGCATATTGCCTAGAAATGTGGGAGTTTTTGAAGGGATAAGGATTCCTTCATTTTCATGATCTTTCGAACAAGATGTGGTGGTTTGTCCCACGATCTGGGTTTTGTGGTTTCTTTACAGACAGTTTCTGCTGTTGTTTTTGTGGTTGGTTCCTCCTTTGGCGTTCTTATCAGTTAGATATCTGTTCAGTTCTTCATTTTCTTCTTTCCATAAGAATAACAATAAACAGCACAAATGAACCCCTGGCAACCTTTATTATTGTATTGTTCCAGAATAAAGACTATTTTAATAATCTTATGTACAAGATAAAAGCATGTGGGATGGCTACAACTGATGTTACAGATGACTTTTTAAGTAGTTGGACAATTGCACAAAAAGGGTATAAACGAAGGGAGGTTGACCTGAAAAGAAGTTTCTTTAGTTCTTTGTTCTTGGACTTCTGTGAAAAATGTTATCGGAGACTTGAATATAAACATAAAAGCCACCTTTATCAAATTAAAAAATTTGCAACGCGAAAGACTGCCAGCTCAGCCAAAAGAACTCTGGGTTTTTTTGCTTGTTTGTTTTCTGCTAAAGGTGAAAAGTTCTAAGTAGTCTCACCAGTTTGGACATTAACTATAAAATGACATGAAATATGTTAGTTACTATTGTCAGCTTTAGAAGAGCAATTCTACAATGAAAAGACATAAGATCTGGAAATTTTTGTGGCAGCAGCTTTTGCAAAAACAAAAATAAGACATAAACAAATCAATGAATTATGAATTTGCTGTGAGACCGAAATACCACATGGCCCCCAAAAGCTGAGACAGTCACCGCAGATATTGAAGTTCTGCATTCTAAACTACATGTTTTATCCCCAAGTTTCAACTCAATGTATTTTGCTTAGTAGTTTTTATTATTTGTTCAGTAACAACTATAACAATCAGGTCTTGGCAGGAATATTAAATTAAACTTTGTCTGTTGCATTTTAATGGTCAGTTGTTAACCTGGAGTGCACACAAATAATGATAGATCAGCAGGGAGAGTCTAAAAACCACATACTAGGAAGTCCAATGGAAAAATTAGGCATGTGAAGAAACAGAGGGAAGATTAATAAGAGACAGGCTATTTTGTTATAGACAGGCTATTTTGTCTCATTCTGTCCAAGGGAAGAATTCCAATTGATGTTCTAGGGAGGCAGTTTAAAGTAGATATTAAGAAGAACTTTCTATAATTAATAAAAGACAATGATATGGACTTGTATTAGTTTGTTTTCACATGGCTATAAAGAGCTACCTGAGACTGGGTAGTTTATAAAAAAAAGGAGTTTTAATTGACTTACAGTTCCACATAGCTGGGAGGCCCCAGGAAACTTATAATCATGGCAGAAGGTAAAGGAGACGCAAGTACCTTCTTCACAAGGCAGCAGGAGAGAGAGAGAACAGGGCAGAAGTGCCACACTTTTAAACCATCAGATCTCGTGAGAACTCACTATCATGAGGAGAGCAGAGGGAAATCTGCCCCCATGATCCAACCACCTCCCACCAGGTTCCTTCTCTGACACATGGTGATTACAATTTGAGATGAGATTTGGGTGGGGACACAGAGCCAAACTTTATCAGGACTATTGTGTGACCATCTATTAGGCACACTGTAGAGAACATTTCTGTCTATATATTTGGTGTAGTAATTTAGCTTGGATGGCCTTTCCAACTCAAAGATTCTATGTTGGGTATTAAGAGTTAGTCTAATTTTAAAAAAATAATAAATATCTGGGCTATATGCGCTTTTTCATTATTGACACCGCCACCAAAATATGTTTTCACGGATTAAGCCAAACAATGGGGTTTCTACTTCTTTCTTGCTGTATTACAGTTCTGTTTTTTACAGTGTGTTATAGATCACTAGACAGTTATATAACTAATATCCATTATTTTGTCAATTGGTAGCTATCTCTGTTGGATTTTAAAATGTTTGAATATTTTTTGAATTTCAGAAGTGATTTTACAGTATTCTTGAATATTCAGATCATTATGATTATTTGCAAAGCCAGTCATATGTATCTGTTTCTGTGTATTTTACAATTTTTTTCCATGTATAAGTGAACACTGGGAATTAAGAAATTTTTTTGGAAAATGCTAATTTTTATTAGACAGTGCCCAGAACATCCCAATAATGAAAAGTTAAGTATGTTGTAGTTAAACCAATTGCCTGCCCTCAGTGCAGCGCTTATTTCAGTTTGCTAACAGCACTAGATAGCAGTTTGCTATTCTGAGTATTTACTACCCCATCCCTGACATATTTTACCCTGGAATCTCAGGACTCTGTTTTCTGGTTATGCTCGGCCTCTCTGGCTTCTTCACAGCTGCCTCCCTCATTCTCATCTTAATTGTGGCCACACCCAAAGGAAGCATTTGTATTTCTCTTCTTTGCAATTTTCTGCTTGGAGGTCTCTTCTGCTTCCATGCCTTAAATGGAGAAGCCCCAGTTCCTCACTTGTGGGCCTGCCATGAATCTCCCAGCTCTATGGGAAGGCTCTCCACTGAAGTTAACAGGTCTAATGTCCACCTCATCATCTTTCTCCTCAAAACAAGACTTTGGGATCTTCTCTGTTTCTGCCAGTGATTCAGCCTTTCTCTCAGTCACTAAAGCTCAGATACATTGTAACTGCCCAATATCACCTTGCCTCCTGCCTAGTCAGAGCTGATTTATCAAGACAGGAATTTCAGTAGAGAAAGAGTAATTCACACAAAGCTGGCTGTTTTGGAGAGAAGAGTTTTATTATTACTCAAATCAGTCTCCTTGAGCATTTGGGGATCAGAGTTTTTTTTTTTGTTTGTTTGTTTTAATCGTACTTTAGGTTCTGGGGTACATGTGAGATCATGCAGGATTATTGCACAGGTACATACATGGCAATGTGGTTTGCTGCCTCCATCCCCCTGTCACCTATATCTGGCATTTCTTCCCTTGTTGTCCCTCCCCAAGCTCCCTACTCCCTGCTGTCCCTCCCCTAGTCCCCTACAACAGACCCCAGTGTGTGATGCTCTCCTCCCTGTGTCCATGTGTTCTCATTGTTCAACATCCACCTATGAGTGAGAACGTGCGGTGTTTGATTTTCTGTTCTTGTGTCAGTTTGCTGAGAATGATGGTTTCCAGATTCATCTGTGTCCCCACAAAGGACACGAACTCATCGTTTTTTTATGGCTGCATAGTATTCTTTGGTGTATATGTGCCACATTTTCCTTGTCCAGTCTATCATCGATGGGCATTTGGGTTGGTTCCAGGTCTTTGCTATTGTAAACAGTGCTGCAATGAACATACGTGTGCATGTGTCTTTATAATATAACAATTTATAATCCTTTGGATATATACCCAGTAATGGGACCGCTGGGTCCAATGGATTTTCCATTTGACCCGGGGATCAGAGTTTTTAAGGATAATTTGGTGGGTGGGGGAAGGCTAGTGAGTTGAGAGTGCTGATTGGTTGGGTCAGAGATGAAATAATGGCAAGCTGAACCTGTCCTCTTGTGCTGAGTCAATTCCTGGGTGGGGGCCACAGATCAGATGAGCCAGTTTATCAGTCTGGGTGGTACCAGCTGATCCATCAAAATATCTGCAACATATCTCAAGCACTAATCTTAGGAGCAGTTTAGGGAGGGTCAGAATCTTGTAGCCTCCAGCTGCATAATTCCTAAAACATAATTTCTAATCTTGTGGCTAATTTTTTGGTCCTTCAAAGGCAGTCTAGTCCCCAGGCAAGAAGGAGGTTTGTTTTGGGAAAAGGTTTCAAACTATGAACAATAAACTAAGTGCCTCCCAAAGTTAGTTCAGCCTGTGCCCAGGAAGGAACAAGGACAGCTTGGAGGTTAGAAGCAAGATGGAGCTGGTTAGGTCAGGTCTCTTTCACTGTTTCAGTTATAATTTTGCAAACGCAGTTTCAATATCACAGTTCCTCTCCTCCCTGCTTGGGGAGGCAGTGTCCCATAATTGTTAAGAGCACACCCTCTGACTCAAGTCGTCAAAGTTCAAATGCTAGCCCTTCCCTTCAGCGGTTGCCCAACTGGAACAAGTTGTTTAGCCTCTTTAAGCCCCATTTTTCGTATCTGTAAAATGGAGATCGTAACAAACTGTAAATGTCGATGAGGTCTACAGAGTTGGATCAAGTGTTATGAATCTGACAGCCCAAACCTCCAGGCCGGTTGTGCCATTATTTCAGTTATTCTGACCTGGATCTGATGCAATGTGGATTAAAAAAAGCAATAAAAGTGAGAGACAGATTATTAAGCAAGTTACGCCTAACAAAAGTTATTAAGCAACTCCCTACGGGTGGATTTTTTAATATGCACTTAGATGTGGAGAAGTTAATATACTGTATTTGTTCACTAGGGCTGCCATAATACAGTGCCAGAAGGGTGCTGGGTTACTCAGACCACAAAGATTTGTTTTCTCACTGTTCTGGAGGCTACGAATTTAAGATCAAGCTGTCAGCAGGTTGACTTCTGAGGCCCCTCTCCCTGGCTTATAGGTCTGTGACTTCACATTGTCCTCGCTCTGTGTGTCTGTGTCCTAATCTTATAAGGACACCAGTCAGATTACATTAGGACCCATGCCAATGACCTCATTTTACCTTAATGGCCTCTTTAAAGGCTTTAT